AGGATGTCACCTCACATACAAAAAAACATGATGCAGAAAGTGTTGATTTTGGGATCTTTTTGTTTTTACAAGACATTCCCTCTTAGTATTCAGTGAAGTCCCGAGGAAAGCGGTGTACTAAGTTTATGGAGAGCATTCTGCTGTGGTTCAAACCTGACACGGACAAATTTTTGAAATTTTGAACTGGAGCTGACTTTGTTACATTTGCATTGAAATATACACTGGGAGGTGTTGTGATAAGAAAGGCAAAGACATTCCAAAGCCCTGCGATGCTGAATAGAAGGCATTTGTACAACTTGATGAAGGCTTTCATGGGAAAGTTGCAATTTCTTTCAAGCCAGATGGAGAGCAACATTCATCCAGAGCTGTTTTGTTTAAAGATTCACAAAGTTCCACTTATTAGTGCAGCCCTCCAAGGCAGTTGTAGTTTCACATGTAGCCCCTTGGGAAAATTAATTGCCCACCATTGCTATAGAGATTACTCAGTTAAGAGAATTACATGTAGATTAGAACATTAAGACAAATGGCAATGTGAATGCATTTTTATTAAAATTTCCAAATCATGAGTTGATGAAATGGCAACAAAATTTGTAAGGGTTAAAGAAAGAATTCTTTCAGTATTCTTCATCATTCAATGTTTTTTTGTTTTTTTTTCAGTCAATACCAATTACACATTTGTCTACAATCTCCTAAACTTTCCTGCCGGTGTAGTCACTGTTTCTACAGTGACTGCAGAGGATGAGGAGGAATTCGAGCACTATCCCGACAAATTTGACAAGGTTTTAAAAGAGGTAAGTGAAACATACCAGTGAGGGAAGACTGGTGAAATATATGGAGCTGGATCTACTGTAAGACTAGGTTTTCATGCAGGCATAATCTCTCAGGAGACACGGATGTGAAGCCTAAACTATAGATGAATTTATTATAGAATAAATTTCTGGGGGGGTTTCAGTCACCTGCATCTTTCTGTCCTGGACCAGCCTGGCTTGTTAGTGGAAGTTAGGGCTCTTAGGTTTTCTAAAAGTGAGGTCATTTCTGAGCTTCTTTAACAGGATAGAAC